CGTTGCGCGACGACCTGCACGCCGCCAGACACATGTGGAGGACCCCCAGGGGAAACCGGCGCCTGTCTCCTCGGAGCTCTAAGGCCTCAAGGTCTATCAACTCGTAGTGCATGTACATATCCCACAAAACAGTAGCCGAGCAGGTACCTCTCCTAACTCCAGCTTCCGACCGAAACGCTTGGCGCCACACGCAGTCCAGGGCCCCTCGGCGCCGCCCCGCGGCCTAATAGTCCCTGGAAAATGCATGCTCCCAGGCCTCAGCCAGGGGCCGACGGGCCCGCCCCCGGAGGCGGCAAGCAAGGGGAAAATGCCCATCGGCCTAAAGCCCCCTTTCTCCTTGGCAAGGAGAGCCACCAAGACAGCCGAAAGCTGGGTTGGTAAGATACCCGAACGCTCGGCAAGGGACAGCAGCAGGCACAGCACCTCCAGGCTGGCGTCGCTGAGGTGCTGGAAGTACCGCATGCGACACCCATCATAGGACGCGGCGCTCCTCCCAGTGTACTTCCTGCTCAATTTGCGAAGAAAGTCAACTTCCAAGGGGGGCAGGGCCTCGGAATTCTTGCACTTGAGCTTCGGGGGGGGGGGAAATCTGACCTGCCCGAGGCCAGAAAACGTTTTGACCTCAGCGTCGAGCAGCTGCCGGGGGTCCGAAACCAACGGCCCCTCGGACGAAAGGGTGGTCGTGGGACGCCAACAAAGCGGATCTTTGATGGCACTGTGAGCATTGCGAGCGCCCTGGCGGAGCTTCTCAGTCAGGCATGCGTGCCAATCAAGACCAGCTATGCGCTGGCGGTGCTTCGCGCACGCAGCCAAGACCTCTTTCTGGCGAGCGAGAAGGGTCTCCAGCCTGTCAAGCCTACTAGCGAGCAGCCCCGATGGACCCAAGGTCGCACAGAGAGGGGCCGCCAGTAATGTGCAACCTCTCGCCCCCCTCAGCGCCGCTGTCACCGCGGGGGGCGGCGCGTTCTGAGACCAAGTTTTCCGGGGGGGGATCCAGCTAAACGTAGGGAGAAGGATTAAAACAGGCCCAGTCCTTGAGCGAGCCCCTCATCTCCTGAAGAAGCTAAACGTAGTCCTGGTGAATAAGCTGCCGAAGGACCCACTCAGACTGGAGCAGGCTTTCGACCAGCTCGCCGACCGCGCGCCTGACGTCGCCGGCGGCGCTGCCAGTCCAAACTGAGGGAAGCAGCTGGGCAGCTGCGCGACTCAATGTCTTTCTGAAGAATGGCCCCCAGTCAACCTGGGGGTCCTCACCACGAGCCCCTAAGCAAGGAAGCTCCCCCCCCAGACGCACCACGAGTTCGCCCTCCGACCCGTTGGCCCAAATCTGGTAAGCCCTACTCAACAGACGCTGCACCTCCTTGGCATCCTGGGACCTCAGACCTCTCCCCCCCATCTCAAGAAACACGCAGGCCCTGCCGAAGTCCCCAGGGGGGATCCAAACCCAGGGGGGGCATCGACAGGGAGGGGGGGAGGCTTGCGAAACCCAAGAGCCTGAAGGCGGCATAGAGCCGGATGAAACACCAGCTCCACGGCAAAGCGCGGTGGGAATTCGCTGCCATCACACCGCTGCACACGTTCGGCTCCGCGTGCGAAGCCCCCTGAGACGCGGGAGTAGTCAAAGTCGGACTGACGAGCCCCAAAGCACGCGGGCGCGCCAGTCGAAATAAACTCACACCCAGCCAGCCCCAAGAAACCCGCGCCTTGGAGCTCTGAGGCTTCGAGACTGAAGTAACCCCAACCACGTGCGATAGACCTTCCAGAACCACATGGGCCCCGACGGCCCTGCGCAAATCCAACCGTCGTTCAGTCAGGCCCTCAGCGTCGAAACTGTAAACGGAGACGAGCCTGAAAGGAACACCCCCTGGCAGATGAGGGACAGCACCCAGAGCTCGACCACAATACAACTGTTGAGGCTGCTGGAGCCCCATGAAAGACCAAGCCAGAATTGCGACCCCCCCCAAAGTGCCCCCTTCGGACGTACGAACCGCGGGCCCCCAGGAGCGCTTCCACCCATGATCAGGACAATACTTCGACGCTCTGCCAATACTGTCCGAGTCGGCAAGATGATGCTCCTGGACCAGAATGACACGCGGGGTGCCAGCCGACGGCAGCCAATCTCGAAGCGATCCCCAGCTATTGCAGTTTGCCGTGGAAATAATCAGCTCAAGAAAATCTTCGTCGGGCCTGGGACCTGGGCCAGGGACTCCTGGGCCCGAGAGATCGTTACTAAAGTTCTTACTAAAATTAGCTCCTTCAAAATTAGGCACCCACCTCTTCCCAATCCTACACAGACAACACTCACGCGAGGACGAGGGCAAGGGGGCGGGGGGGGGGGGGGTGGGGGGGGCGAGCGGGGGGGCACGAGGGGGCTGGCCCTCACCTTCCGCAGCAGAACCCCCCGCCCCCTCAGCTGGAGGAGGCGGGGGGGGGGGGGCGAAATGAAGCACCTGATTTGGGGGGAGCCCGCGTAGGCCTGGCACGAAGAGCTGGGTCGGCT